CAACATCTTGGGCTGGAGAGAAGGAGCAGCAGAGCTCTGCAGGGAAGCCCTCTTCAGCTGTAATGTCTCCCTCTTGGAGAAGAGCAGGATTCCTACATCCTGCAGGGAGACCATCCCCCACCGCACCCCAGCTTCAGGTATAGCCTGACTTCCCAACAAGTCAGGATACCTTTCCCTCCAGAGCTGTCCTTTTGCAGCACTTCCTAACATCACCATTCTATAGACTGACCATTCAACCCATGAATCTTAGAGAGTCACGCTCAGACCATATCCAAACCATTCAACAATTGTTAGACATAGATATAAAAAGTGGGAAAACAGGTGGTATGCTGTAATCAGCTGCTCTCAGTAATCAACAGACAGTTTAAGAGCCATCACCAACATTTGTAGGGTATGAGTAAATATAACAAAGCAAATTATACATATGACTGGATGAATGAATGGATAAAAATATGTACATAATAAAATATACATGCATGCATAATTAATAGCTGGCTAGAATCACAGACACAAATGTAGGAACAGAGAGACAACAGATGCTAGATATGCACAAATAATAGGGATGGATAGGAATAGACAGTCAATGGATGATTTAATAATAGGGGATAAATGACAGATGAAAGGCATGAGATGGATGGAAAGACCCAGCTCTAACATTCCAAAAACAAATCAGTGGAGATGTCCACCGGGAACCTGAAAAGGAACGTTTATTTTAAAGGCCCAAACCTTGACTTCCCTCCTCATTCTGACAGAAATAGTAATGGAAGCTGTGAGGGTAGATCAACTCACCAAGAAAAATAAAAGGTGGCGGGAGAGGAAGAGGAGGAGGAGGAAGGGAGGGGAGGGGAGAGAACCTTGCAGTACATCTCCAGTTAACAAGAGGAAAACACCAGGACAGATGGACACAACATTCAGAGGGTGTGTAGCAACACTGAAGTCAAAGGAAGCCGCCCCACTTGTGTTCCTGAGTAGGTGGCTCTGATAATTGCTTTGAAAACCAGAGTATAAATAAAAGTCTGTGGGTGGTGACAGAACACTGCCCCTGTTTCCAGTTCAACTGAGTCTGTCTTGCCCTGCCCACCAGAGGTTTGGGGATCTGCTCAGTTCAGACTGGGTGACTCCCACCATTTTGTAAGTGGCTACAACAGCCAGCAAAGCCTGCCTTCCACCCCTTTCCCCAACTTCTCTTCATTGGCTCTCCATTTCAAACCCAAGCTGGGAGACGACATCCTTTGTAGCCCCACGGCACACCTGACACCATCTGGTGGCACTCACATTTTGATAATGTGAACATGGACTTTGCTATAGTACACTTGCATCTCTAGATTCCTCTCTGGTGGTTGCCTTGCTCTGTTGGTTAACCAGGAGTCTCCGGGGGGATAAGGTAGGGAACCCAATTGCAGTACACGTACCTCGTACCTCTTTGGCAGAATGTCTCCTCTCTGCCACAGCCCTATCACTGACAAGGAGAACTTCGGGGCTGCATAAATAGTATTTAGCACTAGACAATGCTGACTTTTGGCCAGTGTCTTAGTTAAGAGTTTTTATTGCTGTGAAGAGACACTATGACCATGGCAACATTTAATTGGGGTGGCTCACTTACAGTTTCAGAGGTTCAGTCCATTATTGTCATGATGGGGAGCATGGTGGCCTGCAGACAGTCTTGGCGCTGGAGTAACTGAGAGTCCTACATCTTGCAGGCAACAGGAAGTTGACTGAGACACTGGATGATATCCTGAGCATAGGAAACCTCAAAGCCTGCCCCCAGAGTGACACACTTCCTCCAACATGGCCATACTCACTCCAACAAAGCCACACCTCCTAATAGTGCCACTCCCTATGAGATTATGCAGGCCAATCACATTCAAACTACCATAGCCAGGAAGAACACATAAGATGGTAAACACATTAAAAAATAATCATGTTCTGCATGGTGGCCATTATTCTTATCTTTCTGTAGATCAATTCCACCAATGATGACCTCTTTTCGGACAATTACTCATTCTAATAACAACTGGGCACACACTTTAATGCAAAGATGTAAACAAACATATACACGGTTTAAAAAATGCTTAGAGACCAAATGTCCAGGTCCAGAAACAGAACCCAAAGGATTCCCACCATGGTCTCTGTGTACTCTTCCTGATCACATCTCTCCTTCCCCTAGAAATAACTGATAATCTTTGATGCTCCTAATCATTTTACACTTATGTATTTATCCTTATTACTGTAGTTTACAGAAAGTTTAAGAACTCACAAAACTACCCAGCACTAGGGAGGCAGAGGCAGGTAGATTTCTCTGAGTTCAAGGCCAGCAGGCTCTACATAGTGAGTTCCAGGACAGTCAGAGTTACATAGTGAGACCCTGTCTTAAACAAAAGAAAAACAAAAAAGGACTCTCAAAATTAGAGGGACCACACTGTGTCCATTCTTTGACCTGCTTTTTTCACCTGATGTTGTGATCTGTTATTGTACAGGCAGGTTTCTTTTTTACTGTATTGTATTTCACAGCACAGTCATAATTTGTCCACTTGATTATTGATACAAGTCTGGTTTGGATAGTGGTTTAGCTAGTCCAAATAATATTAAGAGCAACAGACTCTGAAATAGCCCAGTTGAAATAAGTACTGTCTTTGTGTTTACTGGATGGCATACACTCTTCAAAAGATTGTTTTATTGGTTCCCAAACAGATTTGTTAAAAACTTGTTACTGAGGGATGTGTGTGTGTGTGTGTGTGTGTGTGTGTGTGTGTGTGTGTTTACATGCAGGTATGTGCATATGGAGGCCAAAGGAAAATGTCTCCTCAGACACTTTTTTTTTCCCGTTTGCAGAAATAGGGTACTTACCAGCCTGTTCTGTAACTCAGGCTATGATGTCTGGCCAGCAAGCCTTGGGTATCTATGTGTCTCCACCTCTCACATTTTATCTTGAGTTCTGGGTATTGAACTCAGGTCCATTACAGAGAGACTTTTAAAGTAGTCTTTGGTCTGGCAGGTGCCGAATGGTACTGCACTGTCATTTCAGTTCCCAGCTGTGGTTAGTAATGAGGATGTTGGTATTTTGCATACATTGGTCATTCGCATTTTCTCACTACTGCTGCATCTGTTTAAGTCTTCTGCCCCTTTAAAAAGAAGTTTTCTACTTCCTATGGTTTGTAGGTGCATTGAATGGATCCTAGATATTGTGAGTATGGAAACTTTTGCATTTTGACTCCATTTTTGATGTTTGGTTTGGGGTAGATGAATTTGTGGCTAAAAAAATTCTTTTCAAGGCTGGAGCAATGTGTCTCAGCTGCTCTTCCAGAGGACCAGGGTTCAACATCCAGCAAGCACAAGGGAGCTCACAACTGTCTGTATTTCCAGTCCCAGGGGATCTGACACCCTCCTGTCTTCCAAAGACTCTGCATACATGTGGTACACAGACATACATGCAGGCAAAACATCCATACATGCAAAATAACAAATTTTTTTAAAAATATTTCCTTTTCAACCCCCAAATCACATTTTCTCATACAGGTCCACCATAGAATTTGGAATAATTAGTACAATTTACAGTTGCAAGAATACAGGCATAATTGAATTAGTGAAAGTCAAGAGGAATCCCGCCCCCGTGGAATCATCTGGAATTTGTCTAGAAAGATTTATATTTTTAAATAAAAATATAATAATTTTTTATTTTTTTTTAGTACAGATATGAATTGTTTACTAACACCATTAATCATCTCTCTGGAAATCTGTATACTTCTATAACCTTTACTTGCTTATATTCAACTATTTAAAAGATCTTTTAACTTTCTTGTCATCTACAGAGCTAGCCTTCATTACTGAAATTCCTGTTATTAACAGCTCTGACCAGATGTTTGTTGATTTTATTATTTTTTCAAAAAACTCAACTTGACCTTCTTTTTTTCCCGTGCTTGATACAGTTACGAGTTAGTGAATTGGCCCCAGCCCTGAAGAAAGCAATGTTCTGGTTTGCCATTGTCCACAGTGTGAGTGCTGCATTACGGTCAGTTTCAAGCTACCAATGATTTTTCGGTCATGACGTTGAGAAGGGGTGCACAGATGGCTCGCTGCACAAGGCTGGCTGTGGACACCACTGCTTTTTTTCCCCATTTCATTCAGGCCCGCTTTTGATGCACTTTTGTGGTACACATCCATACTTTCAGCCATACAGATAGAATTGGCAAATCTTTAAAATATATTTCCATTTTCAACTTAACTCCTCGAAGGCCCTTCCGTCTCTTTTGTAGCCATCATATTTACAAAACGCTATGTCTTTTTATAAGCTGACACTGATAACGTAAATTCATCCCTATTACAGTCCTTAGACCACTGGAGTACATGTCCCGTATTTTGGCGGTGCTTGAAATCACACTGTCACCCTGAAAACCTGTACATGGCGAACGTGGTTAGGGCCTCACAGGGGCACCAAGTGTAGAGCTGTCAGCTGGAGCTCCTGAGGTGTGCGCTGACTCTCCTGGATTGCTGCTCTAAGTCCGTGTTACACATGGAATGCACGTGGCTCTTCGACGGAACCAGAGCCCAGCGGGCAGACTGACCTGCATCCAAGACTCTACTCGTCTTCGAGAACATTCTGCTTAAAGATACGAGTACATATATCAAACACTCCTCTCAAAACATCCGAAGCACGCCTTTTCATCCCTTAGGAAGGGACAAGGAGCCTCCAAGCATGGCCAACCTTAGCTTCCTCTTCTCCGGGAGTCCGCGCTCTCAGGCTAGCAGCCTCCTCCTTCTCCCCCTACTCGGGGGAGGGGGCGTGAGGCCGGCTCGGTCACCTCCGCCCACTCTCGGTCCCTCCTCAGCTAGCCGAGGCCGCCGCAGCTCTCCAAACATCCTTTACTCCGGACGCAGCAAACCACCGGGCAGAGGGCGGTGTCAATCAGCCACTAGTTCCCGCCCACAGGCCGCGCCCACTCCGGCCGGAAATTACCCCGCCAGGACACCACCGGAAGTCCCGCCCTTCCATGTTGTGAACGGCAGCCCAGAAGGGTCAACCCGCGGCCGGCGCTTTCTCGGTGAGAGTTTCCTTGCGTTGTCCGTGGACTTGCTGGGCGACTCTGCGGCACCGGAACCGAACTCCGCACCGCTTCTCTCCCACGTTGGCGGACCCTCGGTAGGCCGCGCGGGACCGGAAGTCTCGGGCCCTCAGCGGCCTCGGCCTCAGGTTGTAGGCTAGTCGTGCGATCGCATGTCAGTCACGTCGTTCCCCGCGTGATCCCTGCAGGAATGGCAGCCCCGTCCATGAAGGAAAGGCAGGTGTGCTGGGGCGCGCGCGACCTGTACTGGCGGTGTCTCGACGACAACGCGGAGGACGCGGCTCGGTGCCAGCAGCTGAGGAGCTCGTTCGAGGCCAGCTGCCCCCAGCAGTGGGTAAGTCCCGTGGGGCTACAACACGTCCCTGCACTCACCCCACCTCGGGGTAGGTTTTGAGGGACAAGGTCACAGAAGAGGTCGTGCGTTGGAAATCACCAGTTAGTTGTTATTACTGGAGAACATGACAGGGCACTGCCAGATTCTGGAGAAGGGCCAGTGTTGTGATGGCTTCCGAGGGAGTCCATAGCCTTTTTCTCACAGCCCCTACGTTCAAGCTTCAAAGCTTCGTCGTAATTCAGCAGTATGGCTCCTTCAGTATCAGTTTTCTTTCTTCATTTTGTCCCAGTCTCTGCCAACTCCTATAAAGTGCAGACTGAGAGGTGTGTCCAAAGACACGTGTGTGTATGAGAGGGTGGGGAGAAAGTGGAGCATCATGGGAATGTGTACTGAGGGCGACACTTGGTTTTATTTGCTGGGATTTTCATTCAGTCTTGGGAGCTCTTGCATTCAGTTTTATGCAAAGGGAGCCATGCATCAGAGAGAAGAAACTGTTGTCCAAGATGAGCCAGCCCCCGTAGTGGAGAGGGGATTCGAACTTGGGTCCTTAAGTCTGTGTTTACCCTGCTGTACAGCAATCCCTTGAGAAAGATGAGGTCTTGTACTGTACAGTACAGGGCTAAGAGAACCAGGGCTCTGGGTGACTGGTGTATTCACAGAGCAGCTTGAGGGGGAGAAACACTCCGAGAGGAGCCGAGTTCTGGACAGTTTGGTGTTGTCAACAACTCCTAGATTGGCAATCAGGGCTGCCCCTCTGAAGGTGCCTTGGATACTCTGGGCAGGAGTGTTACATTTCTTTCTGATGGAACTTTACGGAGCAAGTCTGTGTGTGCTATGGTAGCGAACAGGGTTTCTCAATGAAGAAGAAAAGTTGTTCAGGCAGAGGGGTCCATTAAGACATGCACTGAAGGCTTGTAACAAAATCAGCATTTTCTAGTCTACAGTGCAGATGTGAGGCCTCCTGCCTTTGCCCTGTCCTCAGAGCTGCTGGGGTCCAAGCTCGGGGGGGGGGGGGGGGGGCAGTGTCACAGCTAGCACATGTGCATGTCCTTGGATTTGATTTATACTTCTAGAATATTACCCTATCGAGATCGAAAGACTTTTCAAATGCCCCATGAAGAGAGGATGATGTGAATGAAAATCAAGGCAAGCCTCTAGTAATTTGTGAATATTTAGCCATGTGTCTGTCTCCCCAGATGTGTGTGTTTCTAGATACGACAGACTCGACAAAAATGCCAGGGCGGTTAAGTGACAGGATACACTGAACCTATAACCAGGCAGTCCGTAAAACTTAAGATTCTTGACTCAACCAAGAGCTGCCTAATGGGCTCCTGTGTGCATAAGACTGTTTCTTAAGTTCCCAGGACATTACACACTAACAGGCATGAGGGGATAGACTCGGGCTCCTCAGGCAGCTGAGCAGCTCACTCAGTAGATCCATGACTCAGGAGTCCAGAACACAAATCACCATCCTGTTTCGAGACCGCTGAGACCAAGGAGCATGTTACATTTAAACCTGCGCCTTTGCTTGCCAAACTGCAGAACTTACTTTAATGTCAGGCCTTTTTATCTCAACAGATAAAATATTTTGACAAAAGAAGAGACTACTTAAAATTCAAGGAAAAATTTGAAGCAGGAGATTTCCAGCCTTCACGGTCCACTGAAAATTCCTAGGCGCTGCCCGGACTTTCACACAGGTGGAAATGATTCTTCTGGACTTTCAGAAATGCTTTGCTGGTTCCAGGACAAAAGCAGTCTGACGCACAATTACATATCAGCACTTGTTCTCTGTGAATAACAATTACTAAAAGGGTCAAGTAGAAGAAGATCTCATCATTCAAACTGTGAAGGGCTGAATGGTATTAAGTGTGCTGCTTTAATTTAGTGAGGCATCTATTTTAAGAAAAAAATTAAAGCTTATTATAAAAATACATTGCTTATCTTCCTTTACCCCCTTTGGTTTTTTTTGTTTTTTTTTTTTTTTTGTTTTTTTGTTTTTTTTTTTGGTTTTTCGAGACAGGGTTTCTCTGTGTAGCTTTGCGCCTTTCCTGGAACTCACTTGGTAGTCCAGGCTGGCCTCGAACTCACAGAGATCCGCCTGGCTCTGCCTCCCGAGTGCTGGGATTAAAGGCGTGCGCCACCACCGCCCGGCCCTTTACCCCCTTTGGAATAAAAGCCGAATAGTAGGCAGATCTAGTTCCAACTGACATAAATAAAAAACTAAGATAGGTTGTTACGAAGTTTCTGGCCATTAGATTAGCATTTTAATACAGAAACTACACAGTGAGGTTGGAAGAAGCCTTAACTAATCAATGGGTTATAATAAAAAGTTGTCTGTTCAAATGTCCTCAATAATCAGACAATAACTGGGTTGCTACCTAGTTCAGCAAGACAAAGAAGAAATAAATATATAGATTGGGAAGGGAAAACTGGGTCTATTTCATGATGATTAAGAACATGCCTAAGGATAGACCCCCCCAAAGTGAACAGTAAGTCACAGACTTGGAGACAATACTTGCAGATCGCATAAGAACTGGTATCCAGAATAAAGAAAACAACAACAAAAAACTCATGCTTCTTAATAAGAAAAATGATCCTGTTTAAAAAGTGGGCAAGTTATGCAAATAGATATTGCAAGCATTGCAGCTGGAATGGAAAGGGATCCTGGCAGTCGGAAGCCAAGGAATACCACAGTCCCCCTAAATGGAGCAGCAGCGTACAGCCCTGCTCCAGGGAAAGGTTTCCCTAATGCAATAACTCTGCTCAGTTCCTCCAGAGTGTAACTAGTTCAGCTAGAGGATGGTTGCCTCAGCGAAAGTTTTACAGTTCTGTTCCACTCCTGCTCTGGGGAAAATTTTTACCTCTCTGCTCAGCTCCACTCTGGGGAAAAGTATCACCCAAACCTCATTCAAGAGATTGATTGGGAGGGAAGAATCCAGGAGGGTGGCTGCCTCTGGGCTTCTTAGGGGTGGAGTTTTTCCAGGGTGGAGATTTTCAAGGTGGGAATTGGTTGAATTCAATCCTTGAGCTTGGACAAGTTCAGAGACTGGCTGGATTTCGTGCTCAGGGGGTTGGTGTCCTGCTCAGGGATTGGTTGGTTTTCCTGTTCGGGGATTGGTTGGGTTTTGTGCTGAGTTGGTCAGGGCAGAGTGTTTCTTTGGCTCTGCTTTGAGGACCAAAGTGTGTTTCTTTTACTGGCCCCTTTTAACCTTTTGGCTCTGGTTTCAGGGACAGTGAATTAGTTCTGGTCTCAGAGTCAGGGTGTGTTTCTTTGGCTCTGGTTTCAGGGTCTGGGTGTGTTTCTTTCGCTGGCCCTTTTACCCTACAGATATTTCTCAAAATGCAATAGAAGACAGAGATCTGAAAAGAGCGTCCATATCATTAAATATTAGAATAACGGAAATTAATACCACACTGGTATGTCACTAGATACCTGGTTTGAAGGGCTTAATTAAAAGGCTCACAATACCAAATGATGACAAGGATGCAGAGCCAATCACTCTTGGTGATACTGTAAACTAGGAAAGCCAGAGTAAAACATGCCAACCTTATGACCCAGAAGCCCCACCCCTGGGCACTTCACCAAATGAACTGGAAGCAAAACCTGTAGTGTTACTCAGTCACTAGATCCAAATGCCCATGTCAGGAATGGATGGAATACCAACCACATGAGCACACACCTTGATCTGCTACCTGAAAGAAGCCAGACTCCAATAGCGGAGTGGCATCTGAATGAAGTGGGTGTGTGGAGATTTGGTTTCTATGCTTAAACCCTGCTGCAAACCACAACCTCAGAAGAAAACTACAAAAGAAAATAGGCAAAGGATTCTGAAATTTGAGTATTAGTCAAAGGGTTCCAGGGGTAACAAGTTCCGTGCCGGACGGTAATAAGGAAAACATTAAATAATGCAGTCATCTAAGCACAGAGCACTCATGGGTTCCTTCTTGGTTTCAGCAGGACTTACAGGAATGGTCTAACAGCACTGGGGTTGTGATTATAGTCCTGAGACAGATTTCTAACCACCATCGGAAGCACAATTGTATAGGACAAATTTCATTTAAGCCTAATGTGAACAATGATGGCTGAATTCGTAGCTTTGGAAATAAAGCCTAGGACCTGAGGATAAAGAACTTGACTGGAGAGCTGATTCACATCTTGCCATGTTTTAAAACAGAAGGGCATAGGTGCTTGTAAGTAACAACTTTAATTCTTCCATACTGTTAGCACAGCCACCCTGACAATACTGGTTTCTAGGAAGAACATTTTAAAAATTCATTTTTAAAATTTCCATAGTTGCTTAAAATATTTTAAAAGGTAATTTGATTTAGCTAAAAGGGACAATATATAATGATATACTTTAAGGCACATGAAAAAGTTTTGGCATTGAGGTGCAAGGTTAGACATCCCAGGATATATCAGTGACTATTTCATTAGTCCAGAAGGTTATAAATAGACACCATCTTTAGCACCATTGGAGACGGCAGGTGAGGCTCGGCCTTCAGGATGCCAACTCCGCACATCTGAGCAGCTGCTGTCTGGTGTACTCCCATATCAGCAGAGCCCCGCTCACATGCACATTCAGTGAGCGGATGATGCCCTGCTGAGGAATCTCCACACACACATCCAGCTGCTGGATCAGGTTGGCTGGGATTCCTTCCCGCTCATTTCTGCAGAAGAAAAACGGAGCAAGACGTGAGCTTCCCTGTAATACAGGAAGTACCTTTTACTATTATTTTTTTCAGAAGTCCTGAATGTTACTGTAGGAGACAGATAAACAGTAAGTCAACCTGGGTTCCAGGAAGTAAAGAAGGGCGTTACAAAGACAGACCAATTCTTGTTTACTAGTCAACATCCCAGGCGGGTGAAATGAAGGGAAAACCAAGGGGTCCCATAAATGCTACAAGTTGACAGGAAGTTACGTGACAGGAACCTAGGTAAGTCTTAAATAGCCTAGAGAACAGACACAGACCAGGGAATCGACTCACCCCAACAGCAGCAGCGACTTCTCAGGGAAGCAGTACTGGGCCAGGTCTGAGCTTTGCGCTGTCTGCTCCACACCAATGACAGTGTAGCCTTCCACCTTTTTCTGCTGCAGATAATCTGTCAGCTGGGCTGGTCTCACCTTAGTGGCAGTTTTAGAAGAGCAGACTATGAAATCATTGCATTGTGAAATCAGAGAGTTGACAGAGCATTAAACTTAAACCCAACCTGTCAAGAGGACTTTCAAGGGGAAACAGGACATCAAAGGACATCAGAAAGAATTCCCTCCACTTCACAGACTGCTGAGTGGTGGCTAAAGAGAGAGGTGACATGTTCTACTGGGGGGACTGCTACACTACAGCAGGTCACAGATAAGACCCCTTGGAACTCAGCACGGAAGGGTCAGACTGAGAAACTGGCACAAAGACAGGATGCCAAAACACTTTCACAACTACAGAATTTAATAAGCAACTTTACACCCACCTCTACCAGAGGAAGCCACTGCTCTGCAGAGACACTGAGGTGCTGGAACTGTCTGTCACCGACACACTGGAGACTGCCAACCACAAGTACTGCAGCTCCAAACACCTCACAGGTCCGGCACAGTCCTGCACAGAATGCCTTGTTACTAAGACTGTCTCCAGCAGGTTACAGAGTTCATGGCATCCCAGCCTTTCCTCTGAAGCTTACCAAGAGGGCTGTGTATGGAACAGACAGCCACAGAGGGTTGATAAACAGGTCTGATGTGAACTACCTGGAAGATGATTTACCTCCTAAGTTGGTGGGCTTGTCGATGAGCGAGGCCACAACAATCAGTCTACTGATGGACTTCCCAAGCTTGGCGGCCCGATCCTGAAGCATAAGCTCCAGGTCTGACTCCAGAGCCTTGTGTCCCCAAGGAATAATCTTTTTCTGGACATCAGCCCACTCTGATTGGCTGTCTGCTTCACCCAAGGTATAACCTGAGAAGAAATCATAGTTCCTGTATGTAAACAGGGTCAATTCTCTATGTATTGGCATCTTTAGATAATTTTTTAAATATTCTTTTTGTTGTTGTTGTTAATGTGTATAGACGGCCTGAGTGTATGTATGTGCTTGTGCATGGAGGTGCCCATGAAGACCAGAAGAGGGCATTGATTGACTGAAAGTGGAGCCAACAGTCTGCTCAACATCAAGTGCTCACAAAGGTCTCTCCTCCCTTGGTGCTCTCTCTACTAGGCTGGATCTCCTGGGTTTTTGCTGCCTGCCACTGTCTGATATATCTGTGTGCAGCCATCTGCTGTTAAGAACACAGCTGTGGGAGGGCAGGGACCCGTCCTCTGTCTAACACCCTGGGTGCCAGCAATGGAGCCTCATAGAATGGATGAGTAGATTCAAGATGATCTGTGCAGAGATGCACCACTGAACCACTCCACCTCTTCCCAGAACTCTACCCAGAGACAGAGTTAAAACCACAGGGTGAGCCGGGGCGGTGGTGGCGCACGCCTTTAATCCCAGCACTCGGGAGGCAGAGGCAGGCGGATCTCTGTGAGTTCGAGGCCAGCCTGGGCTACCAAGTGAGTTCCAGGAAAGGCGCAAAGCTACACAGAGAAACCCTGTCTCGAAAAACCAAAAAAAAAAAAAAAAAAAAAAACCACAGGGTGAGGCTAGAGTCTGCAGTTAAAAAAATTACATGTATTACGAGGTTTGGGGGCATGCATGTCATGGTGTGATATGGAAGTCAAAGGACAATGTGTGGGAATTAGCTGTCTCCTACCATATGGGTCAAATTCAGTTATTCAGGTTTGGCAACAAGTACCTGTACCCAGTGAGCCGTCAGAGTTGGGAAGAAAATCAGAGGCCAGCAGGAGACAGCGGAGGAAACTTACAGAAGGGGCAGGTATGGTGAGGGGGAAGCCAGACTTTGGGGACTCTGGCTCTGGGGAAGCACTCTCAGTGGGAGGGAGAGCT